CTTGACCATCAAGGCCACCCAGGCCATAACACCTTCAGAGGGAGCAGGATAAACATTCAGAGGCTGTTCAGGGGGGTTCTAAATCACGGCTCCCTCCAAGCTCTGTATTGCCTACTGGCTGATACTCAGAGAATCAGATCACCTGTGCCTGACACTGACATGCCTTTGTTCATGTGCATCATTGCTACATTAATAAATTGTATATTGCAACAAAATGCATTATTCTGCTTTTTTTTATTGTGAGAGTTAAGTAAGCCATGTCTGTCATCTACATAAGAAATCATAATATTTTAGGGTTTAAAGAATAGCTGTGCTCACTAACCAGAGCTGCTTCAGTCTGCAATCCCCTCCTCTGCACTAGCCATCAGTACTCATGACATGTAACCAATCAGATCCAAGACAGGACAGTGCTCGCGGCTACAAACAGAGAGAAGCAGCTGCATCAGAGCCAGAGTAGTTCATTTTTTAATCGCTTTAAAGGGGCATCAAAACAAAACACCAAGTATGTTCCATTGCATTGCTAAAAATAAATTAAAAACAGGATGCAAACACTATATTGAGGACTCTACAGTGGAGCTTTCAGGTTAACCTGAACCCCGGGGATTCAATAATGGCATTACTTTAAAAATGTAAAGCCTCATTGGATGAAGCCAATAAATGCCTTGTGTTCCAGCTGAGCTCTGCAGATGTTGACCAGCTTCATATCAGAGATGAGGAAAAGGTTGTTTATGCCTGTGGTATACTGTACCTGAACTCTGCTGTATTTGAAAGTATTAGAACCTGTTTTATATTTTTTATCACAGTTGCTGCGTGGTTTGTCAGTGCCTGCCTGCTAATGTGAGGCTGAATAACGCTGAACCTTAATCTTCATCCCAGGATAATGTTCTTATGAAACATTTTAACTTTTTTTTTACACCTATTTTTTCCCTTTTTTTTAAACTTTCATTTTTGTGTGTTCGTTAAAGTGGACGTTTGTAACATTAGATGAGGAAAAAGTTGAAACTCCACCCCAGATTTATGCTCTTTATGTATAAATCTTATACCACATGACCACACACCCAGCCCATCTTTCTTGGTGCCCCATTGGTGAATAAATACTAATGACTGGGAGGATCCGGGGCAGTATCCAGGACACACTGGAGAGATTATATCTCCTGAGTGGCCTGGGAAAACCTCGGTGTTTCCCCGGATGAGCTGGAGGAAGTGATTGGGGAGAGGGAGGTCTGGTCTTCTCTGCTCAGGCTGCTGCTGCCCCCACATCCTGGCCCCAGATAAGTGAGAGAAGATGGATGGATGGATGGATGGGTGTTTAACATTTGTTTTTCTTTTTTCCAGTTCAATCACACAATTGAGTGGATTACTTTCTAAAGGTTAATTGTGAAATTTCTGAAAAGACCTTTTCTGTTTTTAATCAGCTTACACTGTTTCTAGATTTTTCTAATGCATTTTCTTATCTAACCTTCTCCCTGTTATGCTCATAGAGTGAAAACATGTTTATTAGGGGTGCAACGATACACAAAATTCACAGTTCGGTTCGATACTTTGGTGTCACAGTTCAATATTTTTTGATACAAAAAAATGTTCATGCCTTTTTAATTTGTCATTTATTAAAATTATAAATATATATTTTAACTCAAAAGTACAGTTTTTAAATTTAATGTTGCTGAAACAACAAAGTAATAAAAAAATAGATCTCTCTGATCGAGAAATCACTCATCTTTGGAAAAGAGAGTTTATTACAGAGAAATGTCTCTTTCCAAAATAAAAGCTATACTATCCGCTTCTTCTGGGCTATATTCTCAGCAGCATATTAAACATATCAGGTCCCCATAAGGAGAATCATGTGCTAACAGCTGTCTAAATGACTCGGGTAAAGTTTGTACCATGCGTGCTTGTTGTTTTTGTCTGCTTCCACTTGTCTTTGCACTAGGATGATGTCGGAGTAAATGTGCAGTCATATTCGTTGTGTTCCCACTAGTTCTGTCAGCGTAAATCTCGTTGAAATGACGTTAACGCCACAACACCGCAAATCTCCGTTAACGAGCTACCGCGGTTCGCCCCGTACGTGGGGCTGGACGCTGTCAACACTTTAACGAGCTAACTGCGCTAATGCACTAGTTCCCACCAATGTAATTGAGCATTGTGTGGCACATCTGACATACTGTATTTACTGCGTATTCCTCAGATGTTCTGCCTCTCTAAGATGTTCTTTTTAGGTCTGGTTATGTTACTTACTTGTTCCCAATAAACCAAAGTAGGTGCAAAATGTTCCACAAACGGGCTCTTTTTAGTGTCACTTACTTACCTTTTGTAGCCCTTGTTCCAACTTTTTGGATGCCAAATTAAAAATGGCCTTACTTTTAAAAAAAGAAATGTTTCACTTTAAGTTTAAATTGGTAATATATTTTCTACGCTGTAAAAAATATTCATAAATTAACAACTTTTTTCCCATATAATTTTGTACAAACTGTTCCTATTATTTTTAAAACATGTGAAACATCAATACGATTACAAAAAAATAGTTGGTAAATTAACACGTCAAACAACCTGTACCTGGGGAAAAACATTATATTTAGTTTTGATCAGAAACAAAGGCCCAGCTCAGGCCCTCTACAGTGTAACTTGAACAGCAGTGAACTTTGAAATTAGCATATAGGAGGCCATCGCAGATTGTGTAATGTGAACAGAGACAGAGGGGAAGAGAGTGTGAGAGCTCCTCAGTTGCCTTAGCAGCGCAGCCTCATTCCTCCACAGTCGGGCTTCAGTCCGCTGTACTGCGCGCTTCACAGGGCTTCCCTCACGGCTTCCCTCACTGCTTCCCTCACGGCTCCCCATCAGTTAACCCTGTCACACTCCGCCTGGTCTCCATTTATTCCATCGTGCTCGAGATTTATAAAAATCTGATAAAAAGAGAAGAAGAAGAAGGAAAAGAAAAGCAAACAGAACTCTGGGCCGCCTCCAAGTTTCCTAAATGCCCCTTCTCCGGCTGTTATGAAGGAGCCAGAGGTAAGAGCCAGAGGTAAGAGCACACAGTTTTCCACATCTGAATCATCCAGGCTGAGGTGTTAAACTGCTACAGATGGCACCAACACCTGGCCCCAGACCCGGTATAAACAGATAAGGTGTTAAACCCTATTGTGTTTAATGTTATTATTATTATTATTAACTTCGTTCCTCTTCAATATTGTTCAATATTGATCTTTTCATAAAAACTAAATATGAGTGATTATTTTTAAAAAGCAGCTTTCATTTCTTCTTAATCGTGTTGTTTCCCTTCAGTTTACAAACTGATTAGTGACTAATTCCCTGGTTAAAAATGCAATCAGTAGACCTAATGTAATGTAATGTAATTTCATCTCCTAACTTAGATGATGCAGAACACTAAATAATGCACTTTTACCTACGGATCATTATCCCCACACTGTGTCAGATTTGTGTTTTTACCACAAAGCCATTTGCAATCAGGAGGGTTTTTTTTTTTTTTTAAATGTCCTCATGTGTTTAATTAATCACCCAGCTTCTCACTCAGTTTTCCATTTTTTTCTCTCTCTCTGTCTGTATAATTAACCCACCTGTGACTAAATGTGCGATCAGACACTTACAGCCAGACAGCCAGTTGATGACTGATTGTTAAACTGGAAACTGTTAGTGGGATTGGTGCTGATTGGTGCTTGGTGTTTGCATGTTTGTATGCTTTGGCTCTGATTCTAACTTACCTTCTGTTCCTTTCTGCGCAGGAAACCAGACCTCGTGAGAGAGTTGTCTTGTCTTTGATCAGAAACAAAGGCCCAGCTAAGGGTGTAGTCAAAAAGGGTTTAGTCAAAAAGAGGATGATCGCTAATGGAGATAGCAGTGACTGAAGCTCCAAGCAGAATGATCGTCGTGCATTTTGAGTCCACCAGCTTACATCAAACATGACACATTTTGAGCAAAAACTCTGTTGTTCAGTGAATAAAGTATGATATTTAATCTTTAATTCCACACTATAGGAAGTTGAAGGGAAATGCATTTAAAAAGCTGAAACGCTACAGTGCAGTCGATGCACACAGTACAAATACATTCTCTGAAGTCACACATTAAAGTGGGCCTTGTTTACTCTACAAAGTAGCTTCAGTTATTTAGCAACAATCAGTTTCATCAACTCAAAAATGGGAGAACATTTCAAATAAAGCCAAATTAGCTTTTACAGTGTAGCTGTAGATTCATATTAATTAGTAACTGTCTTCAGCCATGGGTGAAGGTTTTGTTTGCACATTAGGAGGTTAGGCATTAAGTGGGGACCAGAGGGATGCTCACCCTGGAAACTTTATGCAGAGTTTTGACTCACTTGAATGCTTCATTTATCTTTTGTTTACTTTGTGTTAGAAAATGTATTTATGTAAAAGAAAACACAAAAATCTGCAGTCACTGTGCTGACGGTTATGTTATCTGTCCCTTGCATCACTCCTGAAATCTGTTTTCAGTACAGAATGTCTATTTTAATCATTTGTGCATTCCTTTAGACTTAGTCCCTCAATGAACAGAACATATGATACATGCATGAAGGAGACAGAAAGAGCTTGGAGCCTCTTAATATACGTAGATTAATTGTATATCTTCTATATGTCATTTTATAAAACAATATCCATCATCAAGAATAATTACATGCACACTGTTTTAAAACTGTTGTTGTCTCAAATGTCCCTCCTTTGTCTGAAAATATCATGTAAATATCAATGTTGTTAAATAAGTTTTATGTAGTTTTATTTTGTTTTACATTCTTTTTATATAAGGCATTCAAAAGACTTAGATGGACACAAAAAAAAGTCCTGATAGTCTTGGGAATATTTCAACACACCAAGTATTGGCAACTAATTAAAACTGCTATAACTTCTAATCATTTTCTTTAAACTATGTGAAAAAGTACAGTGGCTGAGGAGATGCTCTGCAAGTACACTTCATGGATTAGAATTTTGAGTACAAAGAGTTGTACATCAACTGCACTTTTTTAGAAGCAATGAAACTTTAAAACTCTATTTCTGAAAAATTACTTGAAGAACTAAATATAAGTGCCACAAATTGCAGAATGACTGAAATCAAACAGCTCTCATCTCAGGGTGGCTCCAGTGACACCTGCTGCCAACAGTATGCCGGAAAGGGTCACAGCAGTGTTGGCTACAGCACCGTTAAACGTCTTGTCGTGGGCGTAGGTGATGATGTACAAAACTCCTCTGTAGGCCTCCTCGCATGTAGGCTGGATCTGATCCTCAGGAAGCTCAAACCTGTATGTCCCATTGTCTCTCAGCTCAAAGATGTAGGTTAAAGGGATCCCCTGCATCCGAGCCCAGTCAGTGGCTGAACCAGTTATGGGGTCTGGAGAAAGAAAAGCAGCAGTTATATTTTTAAAAACACAGAGATACTGGCAATAAATTTAACTGGCTAGCAATTGATATATAAACCCACATAATACATCGGGCGGGGTTCCTACAGTGTAGTTTGTTCGGTGAACCTTCCATATTGCTTCTGTTGCTCCCTGACAACCATCATCTGAGGAATCACAAAGAACTTGTCATACAGTCAATGAAATATGGATCCAGACAACCTTGTTCTTGTTCTGTATGAAAAATTTAGTGGTGATATGGAGATTTCAGGAGACAATAAATACAGATTTAAATGTTATCAGTTCCTTGAGTATCCCGTTGTCTTAGTAGTTTTCCATCTTCCAAAAAATTCCAAAAAGTTAATCAGCTTTTTGGAATTTTTTGGAATTTCTGGACTGCTCTGTACATACTTATTAAAGGCACTGGTTATGTTTTCATCCTGCCTGCTGTGTTTGGTCCACATGCACACTCAAACATGATTGCACTAGGCCTTATGTATATTTAAACTCTATAGTTTGTGTGGAATCTTGTTATCGTCATTATTGAACGTCCATTTACCTGTTTGCCATTCCACTTTTATCTATTACTCTTTTACTAGATGAATTAACAATAATTACTCATTCTGCTGGCTGTTTGCCTTTTTAATATAAATGCATGCACGATTAGTCATTGTCAGGCTATAAAGATGCATATGTGGTGTATGTTAATTTAAAAAAAAAAAAAAGCATTATTGCATTTGTTGGCATAAATACCAGTTCATCATAGTTGGGAGCGGTGTAGTTGGGGTGTCCGTAGGGAATCAGGAGCATCTGGCCATAGGAGTGGATGCTGAGGAAACACAGGAAGCTGTCCTTTCGGCTTCTTACAAAGTCAGTTACAGCCCTGGTCTCGAGCTCAGACATAGCTTTGCTTCCAGGGTAGAATTTTGAGCAGCAGTTAAATGAAACCCCAATAGCTGTGAATAGAGGCCAAGGAGGATGATATGAAAGACATATAACAATAATACCTCTGTTTTCAAATTCTTTTAACAAAGGTTAACCTTTTTACATAGTGTGACCCGTTAGGTTGTAAAATTTGGCCAAAAGCTGCAGTTCCTCTAATAGCCACTAAAGGCTGCTTCATGTGTGACTCCTGTATTAAAATGTCCAGAACATTAAAAACCATATTGGCTTTTTCCACCTCCTTTTTAAAAAAAAAAGAGACAAGTAGTTAAACAGTGTCTCACCTACCTCAGATGAACAGCAATACACAACACATTACGTTTATTTATTTTATGAGAAATAAGCCAAAATGCAGAAGCAGTGTGTAAAAAAAGAAGCATGCTTTACTGCTTCTGTGGAATTAGAAGGGTAACTAGCACCAAGGTCCTGCTATTCAAATTCACACTGATCATCAGCAAGTGCAAGCACCTCTAAAGAAGCAGAGGTTTTGGAAGTTTGCTGGAGCATTCATGTGTAGGGATGGGTATCGTTTAGGTTTTATCCGATACCGGTGCCAAACCGGTACTTTTGAAACGGTGCCGGTGCTTAAACGGTGCTCAAACCGGTGCTTAAAGTATGGAGAACACAAAATTGGTCCAAAAACCTCCCATGTTCAGCTGTTTTTTTGGAAAAAGATAACAATGTTAGCCTTTTCTGCAGCTATGGGCATATATGGTATAATACATGGTAAAATAATTATTGTGGGTGATTTTAACATCCATGTAGATGCTAAAAATGACAGCCTCAACATGGCATTCAATCTGTTATCAGACTCAATTGGTTTCTCTCAAAATGTAAAAGAACCCACCCACAACTTAATCACACTCTAGATCTTGTTTTAACATATGGCATAGAAACTGAACATTTAACAGTGTTTCCTGAAAACCCTCTCCTGTCTGATCATTTCCTGATAACATTTACATTACAATAATGATTACACAGCGGTGGAGAGTAGACTTTATCAAAGTAGATGTCTTTCTGAAAGCGCTGTAACTAAGTTTAAGACTATAATCCACCCACTGTTATCATCTTCAATGCCCTGTACCAACACAGAGCAGAGCAGCTATCTGAACGCTACCCAACAGAGGCCGATTATCTTGTTAATAATTTCACTCCTCACTACGTACGACTCTGGATACTGTAGCTCCTGTGAAAACTAAGGTCTCTAATCAGAAGTACCTGACTCTGTGGTATAATTCTCAAACACGTACCCTAAAGCAGATGACTCGTAATCTGGAGAGGAAATGGTGTGTCACAAATTTAGAGGATCATCATTTAGCCTGGAGAAATAGTTTGCTGCTTTATAACAAAGCCCTCCTCAAAGCCAGAACATCTTACTATTCATCACTGATTGAAGAAAATAAGAACAACCCCAGGTTTCTCTTCAGCACTGTAGCCAGGCTGACAAAAGTCAGAGCTCTTTTGAGCCAACAATCCCTTTAACGTTAACTAGTAATGACTTCATGAACTTCTTCACAAATAAAATTTTTATCATTAGAGAAAAATTTACCAGTAATCATCCCACAGATGTAATATTATCTACAGCTACTCTTAGTACCATTGATGTTAAGTTAGACTCTTTTTCTCTAATTGATCTTTCTGAGTTAACTTCAATAATTACTTCCTCCAAGCCATCAACGTGTCTTTTAGACCCCATTCCTACAAAACTGCTCAAAGAAGTCCTGCCATTAATTAATTCTTCGATCTTAAATATGATCAACCTATCTCTAATGATCGCTATGTACCACAGGCCTTCAAGCTGGCTGTAGTTAAACCTTTACTCAAAAGCCATCTCTAGACCCCAGCAGTCTCAGCTAATTATAGGCCAATCTCCAACCTTCCTTTCATATCAAAAATCCTTGAAAGAGTAGTTGTCAAACAGCTAACAGATCATCTGCAGAGGAATGGTTTATTTGAAGAGTTTCAGTCAGGTTTCAGAGCTCATCACAGCACAGAAACAGCTTTAGTGAAGGTTACAAATGATCTTCTTATGGCCTCTGACAGTGGACTCATCTCTGTGCTTGTCCTGCTAGACCTTAGTGCAGCATTCGATACTGTCGACCATAATATCCTATTAGAGCGATTAGAACATGCTGTAGGTATTACAGGTACTGCACTGCAGTGGTTTGTATCATATCTATCTAATAGACTCCAGTTTGTGCATGTAAATGAGAGTCCTCTCACACACTGAGGTTAATTATGGAGTTCCACAGGGTTCAGTGCTAGGACCAATTCTGTTTACATTATACATGCTTCCCTTAGGCAGTATCATCAGAAGACATAGCATACATTTTCACTGCTATGCAGATGACACCCAGCTCTATCTGTCATGAAGCCAGATAACACACACCAATTAGTTAAACTGCAGGAATGTCTTAAAGACATAAAGACCTGGATGGCCGCTAACTTTCTGCTTCTTAATTCAGATAAAACTGAGGTTATTGTAATCGGCCCTGAAAAGCCTAGAAATATGGTATCTAACCAGATTCTTACTCTCGATGGCATTACCTTGGCCTCCAGTAACGCTGTGAGGAACCTTGGACTCATCTTTGACCAGGACATGTCCTTCAATGCACATATTAAACAAATATGTAAGACTGCGTTCTTCCATTTGCGCAACATCTCTAAAATTAGAAATATCCTGTCTCAGAGTGACGCTGAAAAACTAGTTCATGCATTTATTACTTCCAGGCTGGACTACTGTAATTCATTATTATCAGGATGTCCAAAAAAACTCACTGAAAGCCTTCAGCTAATCCAAAATGCTGCAGCAAGAGTACTGACAGGGACTAGAAAGAGGGAGCATATTTTCTCCTGTTTTGGCTTCCCTTCATT